CTTAGAAAATTAAATCACTGGTTTCGTTGATTGACCCAAAGTGGATCAATTGGAATTACTTACTCTAAGAGCCTGGTGGATCTTGATGGATTCCAGCAGGTGCTTGAAAATATGTGAGTCTGTTGGTTATCTGGTTAGCTGCTGGCAAACCATGACTCTTGTGATGACTCTTGTGATTACTACCACCTCTCTTGCATGCAAATCCTGGTTAGTTTCTTCACTAATCAGTGAGGAAGTCAATAATATCCGGAAACAATGCCTGGAGTATCAGCAAAGTGAATCTAATCAAGCATGGAGATAAGCCTGTGCTTATATTAGCGATGAGGTGAATGAGCAAAGCTGATTGATTTGATTCCTGGATTTTTCTTCTTATATCAGAAGGTTGTTGGTCAGTGATCTTTTTAAGGGTTGCCTTTTGTGGAAGAGCAAGCAGTTGTGTCTGGCTGCAATAGCACTTAGACTTATATACCTCTCCACAGTGTTCTACAGCCCTCTCAAAGCGGTTTTCAGTCAGCCTATGGCCCCCAACAATCTGGGTCCTCATTTTACCCATCTTGGAAGGATAGAAGGCTGAGTCAACCTTGAGCCGGTCAGGACTTAACTTCAGGCTGTGGGCAGAGTCAGCCTGCAATACTGCATACTGTGCCACCACAGCTCCTTGGAGTGCAGCCCTTCCTGACAAAGTTGCTTGGTTTCACCTGAATTGTGAATTTTCCTTAGTAAAGTCAAAGTGGTGGTGACTGGGATGATACATTTTATCATGTGAACAAGCAACTTTGGATGGCATGATTTGTTCCAACTGTGATCACAATCATGCTTCTCTTCCCCCCTCTTTTAGGATCACCATGATTGGCTGGATCCAAATAGTTGTCAACATCTCTTTGTAGAAGTGAGTGATGCCTTGACCTTATAAAATGCTATGGTATGTGCCTTCCTTGGGTCAAGCCATATTTCACAACCAGTAGTTGATCCTTTAAATTTTCTTTTTGGGAGAAAATTGTTGAGAAAGATGGCAAGGAACGTTCTTAAAAAAAGCAATTTATCAAGATTCAGAGCTGGGCATGGAACTGAAATAACATCGGTTGCATTGGTGGATGATCATTGCAGGATCTGGACAAAGTACAACCTTTCTGGATCTTATTTGACATTTAAGTAGGCTTAGGTATAGGCTTAGCCTATTTTGGATCATGTGTGAAGTTTGGGGTTGGAGACCCAGTTTTCCAGGGAAGGCAGTTCCACTTGGTCATAGTAAGTAGAGGTTGGCTGGTGGCAGCTTGATTTAGTTCCCTTCCCCCGTTATTTAATATTTACATGGGGACATTGTGAGTGCTTATCTGGTATGTGGTATCAGTAAGCTGATGATAGTATTCTACATTTGAGGTGACTTGTCAGTCTATTGAAGTCTTGCTCCAGACTCTGATGATCAGAGTTAAAACTCCAACATGATTGTTTGTTCATTAAGATTTTCTTTGTTCCCTCAGTCAGGTATACTCTGCAAACTGGTATTCTGAGATTAATAAAAAGTAAGTTGTTTTTTTCTACTGGTATTCTGGGAATACCAGTAGAAAAAACCAACTTTTTATTAATCTCAATATTGAGCCTTATTATTGCATCCCCATGACTTTTAACACATAAGCTATGTATTATATTGGAATTAGCCATTGTCTCCTCTTTGGCAAGAAGAGTTCTACGATATTGAGAAACCCCAATTTATTTTGCAAGATAAACTATTAAATGCACACCTATTTAGTTTCATGTAATTATATCACGGGTCAAATAGTGAGAGCTAATTGTTGACTGGGGGGAGGGGGAAGATCAAACCTTAGGTCTCTGATTTGTGGTGCCTGAGTCCAACTCATTTCTGTTTATGTCTACCTGAAACTGCTAGGTGAAGTCATCTTCTGGAATGGGGTGAATTCTATTACTAAGTGATGCAGCCATAGAGCGCAGCAGTGGTGGGATTCAAATAATTTAACAACCAGTTCTCTGCCCTAATGATTTCTTCCAACAACCAGTTCACCAAACTGCTCAGAAAGTTAACAACCGGTTCTCTCGAAGTGATGCAAACTGGCTGAATCCCACCACTGGAGCGCAGCAATGTAACATGACCACATTGTTTACCAGTGGCAATCCCAATAGTCCCTGGTGCCATTGTTAAGTGAGGTTTGTAGGTTGTGAAGTGAGGCCTTTGTCACAACTTCCTGCTGGCTTCAAACAACCAGTCAGTGGTGAAGCTACCAGGAAGTTGCAAGTTCCAGGTGGCAGGCTGGTGGGAGAGGATGTGTAAGGGTAGGCAGGTAGCCGGCATGAGTGCAGTGGAACTTGGTGTGGTGGCAGCCAGGTGGGGGAGACTTACCTGTGTGATTTACAATCTGCCAGCTTCCCCATTCACTTTGTGAGAAGTGAGAAGCTGGCAGGAAAAGCTACAAATGGTGATATTGTGAACATAGACTGCTACAACCATTATAAATGTGAGCCAGTTGCTAAATGTCTGGATCATGATCACCTGAATGCAGGGTGGGGCTTGCTGGGCTTGCTGGAACTTTGAGGATTACTTGTAAATACAACTCATTCAGAGAGTGGTTGTTAGATCAGGACTATTTGTACTGTCTTGAAGTCTTCGCCCTGTGGGGGTAAGGATGGGGGTAAAAGGGGAGACAAAGGGGAGACTGCCTACCCAAATTGCCTTTTTTATACTTCAGAATGGAAAGATTAGTGAGGGAGGGATTGCAAGAGAGTAAGCTATTTGCTTAGTGTATCTGCAGCTCTCAACCCAGGGTTGTTGGTGCTGTCACATTGTGTTTGGTGTGTACAAGAATGTAAGCAAGCACTAAAGCGGTGTTTCTCAACACTGGCATCTTTTAAGATGTGTGGACTTCAGCTTCCATAATTCTCCAGCTAGCATGCTTATGACCTTACATCATAAATATATCGTAATTGTAACATACAATTTTATTTCTGCATTAACTTTGCTGCTTGCAAGCCAATTGGAAAGCATGCAAATGGTGATCACGTGGCTGTAGGCCCCTGCATCAGTATTAGGTCTGAGGTCAGAGTGCCAATTATAGAAAATGTTAGGTTCAGAGTTTTTTGCATTTACTGGATAGCGGCTCTTAACCAAGTCTAGCTAATCTTGAAGATAAATATGATAGGATCTGATTGGTACATGAATGGGAGATGACCCATTCTTTTAGGCTAAGAGTCTAAAAGACCCAGGCTGACCCAGGCTTTTAGGCTAAAAGTCACTTCTTCAGTGCTGTTTTAACTTCAAATAATCACTAAGTGAATGGTTATAAGTTGAGGACTACTTGTGTCAACTCATAAAACATTTTGTATACATGTTTTATAGTTGTCAACAGAAAGAAGGGGGGTTTCAAAGAGCAGGCAGCAGTGTGGAATCGAAAGTACCTTCCATTCGTATTTTCTTCAGAGACTGATTAGATGACTGAAGCTTCTGCCACACAGTTGGAGAGCATGATTGATGACTCTTGGCTATGGATGTGTTTCGTTGGATGATACACCCAGAGGGTTGGGTGGGGGGGAAAGCAGGATCAAGGGTGACAGTGGAGAGTTGGCTATGCCCAGGCTAATGCTGGAATGTTAACTTCTAATCCTTTTTAGTTTTGGGAGTGTGGCTCGAGGCTCATGATTTAATTGGAGCAACTGCCGAAATCCTGACCACTTGTATGGTTGGCAAGAAAACTTGAGTATTAGAAGCATGCAAAATGTTTTGAATTTAAAATACTTAAAACTTGAAATGGCTTCTTTCCAGTTAGAAATTGCTTTTTCAGGTTCAAAATTTAGACAAAACTGGTGTTATCACTGTGGAACCATTTTGAATTGAAAGCAGTTATTTTAATTCTAGGATGAGATGCTTTGAGTCAGATGAAGTATTTTGATAATGGAACATTTCCAGGATTGTTGGAATAAAGTGTTTCAAACTAGAAATGAGATATTTTGAATCCAAAGGCTTCAGATTTGAAACATTTTAATACACCGGATGTTTCCATGCCATAATCACTTAAAATGCTGATACTCATTACTTTATTTAGAAAGCAGCAAGTGCTGCTATCTTTCATGAAAAGGTACAGAAGGAGCATGAACTGCTACTGTCTTGTCTTGACTTTGGCATTTTCTAATAACTTCATTCTCTTCTGCTCAGTCTTGTTATTTTTTCTTCAAAGCATTGTGACAAATACAACTCTGAAAAGCACAGGGTGCAGGTGGAATGGAGATAAAGTCTTTGCAGAAATTTGCTGCCCTCTTATTTTTTGTCAGTCTTCTGTATGTCCCATAGGTGATTTTTCAAGAGGCAACCGGACTTTCTTTTTTTCTTTTGAAGACGTTTCGCTTCTCATCCAAAAAGCTGCTTCAGCTCTGACAGGATGGTGAGGAAACTGAAGGATTTATATTCCTTGCAGTCATCTGGTCATTTGCATCCTTTTGGAAGATGCACGCCCACTATCCTATACCCCCACTATCCTGTCAGAGCTGAAGAAGCTTTTTGGATGTTTGTGTTAGATAATTATATGTAAAATTGTTTATTCTAACAATATATACTCTATGATCTTTTTGTTGTATTTTTCATTTATTTTTAAAGCATTTGTTAATGTGTTTTCTCATAATGTATATGTATTTTTGTTATTTTTGAGTGTTCTCTAAAATTTACACAGAAACACATACAGACAGAGCTTTTCCACTGCTCTTTTTTTGAACTGATACAAAATGTGTCCTCACAGATGGTCTGTGCTCACTCACTCACTGCAGCATGCTCCCCCCCTCAAATTATGTAGAAATGCTGGTAGCTGCCTCTTCCAAATGAAGGTGATAACAGCAGTTTTTCCAGTGTTTTTTTTCTTCTTTTTTCTTAATTATTAGCTTTGGGCTCTGTCTGTTCCCTCCCCAGTGATGTGTCCTTTTCTAAACAGAAAATGAAAACATCAGCAGACTCTTCTGCAAAAGGCGGCAACCACTAACTTTCGTTTTCCTTTAACTTTTAGATGAGATGTGCAGCATTGTGTGATCATCTGATAATTCCTAGAAGAGGAAGAATTTGCTGCATGTGGAGGAAATTTCCTGTTGTTTAAAAAAAGTAAGTCAAACCTACTCCCCATCATCCACTTGATTTCACTTCCCTACAAATAGCCATTGAGATATGCCGTGTAAGTTATTCAGTTTTGAAGAATGTAGATGAGTGATATACATCCCCTTTCGTTTAGATATCGGTAGATCTACTTTTTCATTCATTTCCCTAAAGAAGGGTCTGTCTCTCCCTTCCTTTCGTGGCCCAGGGTGGTTGGGGCCAAAAATCGAGAACCTCTTTGGATTTTGGGGGTGGGTGGGGAGATTTAAGAGGTACTGCAAATGCTGAAAGCATCAAGTCACACTGAAGCTCCGTTCTTAAGTCAATCCCCTTTACATACAAAAAGTTGCAATCTATGACATTCCAGTAGAAGTTTCATTACCCAGCTAGGGTTACAGCATCAGCGTGAGGCACTGATCCCTGTTTATAAAAGGTACCAGTTGATGAGGGTGGTGGTTTTCTTCTTGGTAGTTCCTTGATTAGGGTATTGTTTTCTGCTTGACTGTTTGTCTGGTGTTAATCCCTGTTTATCTGGGTGTAGATTGACGAGGGAGATCTCTTTCTTTCTGTTTTCATTTTAGAAATAACCTTTTTATCTTTTTTTGAATGATGTGTAAATGTAGTTTGTAGGTCTGTTGATGACTAATTAGTCTGAATATTATGTTTTCAGGAATTTCCTTGCATTTTTAGATTTGGGTTTGTCTAAGATACTCAGTTTCCTGTTAATACTATAGATGAGTCTGTCCAAGTGTTGAGAGATTAATTTTTTATTGTGTCTTCTGACTCCTGGTTGGAGTTCATGAATGCAGTCTGCTGATCTTCTGCCTATCTCATCCTATATAGTGAGTGGCTGATACAGTCTTTACTCTTTATGTTGTAGATTAGGGGTCTCCAACCTTTCCAGTTGCAGACCAGCAGGGTGTGTGTGGGGGGGGAGGAGGATTCCATGTGACCCACAGATAGAGCTGGATGCACTTGCCCACTACTTCCACAGCCCAGATCTGGCCTGGGGGGGCGGGTTGGGGACCACTGTTTTAAATAATTCCTGATTTTTCTTCTTGGGTTGCAGTGTCTTTTGGTTTCCGTAAGGTGCTTTGGAGGGCTTTTGTTTGTATGTTCCAATGACATGTGGTTGTAATGTTTTGATATGTTTTTGATCTTTGGTAGTGTTATCCTTTCCATTGCTTGTGTTGGTTGTGTTACAGTGGTTTGAGTGATCGGACCCTTTTTGATATAGTTGCATGGCCTTCCATTGTGTGGGGATGTATTATAGGCTGTCTGATTTATTTTTCTGGTGCCTTAGGTTGCTGCATTGTGTTGATATTTGTCTGAGTGATGCTCTTACACAGCCTCTTGTGGGAGGTTGGATTGTTACTTTGGTAATGGAGCATTTGGTTAATGTGGGTTGCTTTTCGATAGTTTTGAATTTCTAATTTGCTGTCATTTCCTCTTCTGTGAAGGATACTCAGGAAGGGTTGTGTGTTGTTATGGTCTTCCCATGTAAATTTTATTCCTTTGAAGATGTTTTTGATCGTCTCATGTATCTTCTCTCTAGCAGCTGTTCCATTTTTATGACAAAGGTGTCATCTGTATACTGGTTTTATGCTTTTAGTTGTAGATGTGGGAGTGCTGTACTTTCTAGTTGCCGCTTACGGTTTTTGCTAGGAGAACTGAGCATGGTATGCCATGGATATTCTCATCCATGCTGTGCCGAGAGTCCAGGATGGGTTAGACTCCTCCCTGTGATGTCATAGAGCTGAGTCTGCCTCTATATAAAAAGCTAGCCTGGAGCCAGGTCCCCAGCTTTGACTCAGCTCCTTCTTCTCGAATTGAGCTCATGTCTCTGGAAGCCGTCTATGTGTTTACAGTTTAGCTAAACGAATAGGAAGCAGAAGGTCTCTCTTCTTGCACAGCTCCCGGGGACCCGGTGAGCTGTGCTTCAGGGAGAGCGGGGATCCGCTCTCTTGGAGAGCCGAGGATTCGAAGCTACCTAGAGCTCCTGTGAAGCTGTAAGTAAGGGGAGTGCCTAACAAGCCTCCCTCGCAGCTCTCCCTCATGAAATTGGCCGGCTGCGATAAGAGAAGATCGGAGCCACCGATAAAGCACTTCCCAGCTGGGCTTGTTTTTCGCAGGCGTTTTTCAACCGATTTCGTCGCTTGGGGCTCGTTCTTGGCCTAAAGAGCGCAGACCAGTCCCTTGAGGTCGAAGCACGTGTGGGCTGCCATTTAAAGACTCATTGGCCATAGTGCATGTGGCGGGTGGCCACTTTTAATTGGCCCGACCGGAGGAGCTCCAACGCCATTATAAGCCTTTGGCTTGCTCCGGATCAAGACCTCTTTCCTTTTTAGTAGGCAACACATTACGAGGGTTGCTTCCAGCACCTCTTGTGCTTTGCCTATCTTTATGATGGATCGAGACAAGGCCCATGCAGAACTCTTGGGCCTAGAAAACCAGGGCCTTCAGGCCTCTAAAAGAAAGAGAAAGAGGCAACTAACTCAATCTGCGCAGAGAGAGGCTGTGGTTAAAATCATAGCCAAGGCTCTGGCTCCAAAGAAAACCTCCAAGGCAGAACTCAGGGCTGAAAAAAGAAGGCATGCTGCCTTGGAGAGGCAGTTTAACAAGATCCTGAAGCAGTTGCAACAGGCTTCCAATCGTGGGGAATCCCGCCGGGGGTGGGGGGCACAAGGGGTTGCCTCTTCCAGCCATCTCCAATTCTGGTCCCCTGAAAGATCTGAGAAGCAATTCTGCCCCCAGGATTTAAGCAGATCTGGACCCAATTTTATACAGGCCCGTTGGGGTCTCCCTCAGGGACAGACTCCGGGCAGACTCAAACACACTCAGCAGGCTGCAGTTTGGGCTGTCTGGGTCTCAAGTGCAGCATCATTTTTCATGAGAGCTTCACTCCGCTGGCTGCAGCAGATGCAAGAACGGCTTCCACCATCAGACTCCACGTCGCACCAGGATCTGAACAAGATTATAGTGGCAGTGGAATTTACGGCAGACGCTACTCTTAACTCAGCCAAGTTTGCCTTCAGGGCTATGGCCTCTTGGTGGCAGCGACATGGCTCCTGGGCGGAGCTGGTTCTCCTGGCCCCTCATTGGCCCAGGAGACCCTGGTTTGCAGATCTGGTGAACCTGTCTGAGCCGTACCGTGGAGGATCTCGGCCAACAGAATCTCCCTACATCAGGGAGCCTTACTCCATCCGGTTCCTCAGTGGTTCAGATTGACCACGTGGCGCTTGAGCAGCAACATCTAAAGGAAGCCAACCTCCCTGATAGGGTTATCTACGCTATCCAGGCTTCTTGCAAACCCTCTGCTATGTGCATCTATGATGTCACCTGGAAAGTTTTCTGTAACTGGTGCTTGAGGGAAACCTTAATTCCACCTCTGCTTCATTAGCTGAGGTGTTGCTCTTCCTTCAAGATGGGCTTGAGAGAAGGGACTTGCTCCTAACACCCTGCGTCGCCAGGTGGTGGCCCTTTCATCTGTTTTGTCCTGGGATACAATTCCTTCCTTGTCACATCACCCATCATCGGTCTGTAGATTGTTTGAGTGGCCGCATCTCCTCCTCTTCCACCAGAAAGGAAGCGGGACCTTACAGGTTCCCCCTTCTTGTCCAGTGGCACGTAAACATTTCACCTTGACACTGTGTGCAATATTCAGGAAAACAGAAGGGTTACGGGACCATGTGCTAGAGAACAGGACACACGGTGAGCAATGGCAGCACGGCCACCTTTCAACCCAGCAAGAAAGGGTCATTCCTTTCCTCCCCCATTGGCAGGAGTGGAACTCCTTGATCCTGCCTGTATTTCTGTAATAATTGGAATGTATTTATTTATGCATACCGTCTGTAGCAGTGGGATAGCAATTAATTTTCCCAAGGGGCCACATGAGAAGCTGTGGCTGCTGTGGAAGGCTGTGAAACCGCATAGGCATGTACGCACACACATGCATGTTTTTTTTTTTTAAAAAAAATAGTTGCCTTCAAAATAAAAGCAATTTTTTTGCAGGCCACACAGAGAAAGATGTCGCCCAGAGGCTGTAAAATGCCTAGGTCTGATCTATAGGCTGCTCAATTTCTAATGACTCCAGGCAATTTATAATTAAAAAAGTCAGAAAAGGAAAAGGACAAAAACATAAGCAGCCCAAAGGGAAGCTTACAAAACAACAACCCAAGAGGCTGAAGAGAAAGGAGCGAGCTCTGCAGAATGGGCACGGTGGTGGAGAGAAGTCCAGCAGCCTCTGAGCAGCCTTATCGCTCCTTCCATCAGGGCAGGCCTGGAAATGACCACGCCGGTGTTCCTCCTTTTCTGTGGGCACGAAGCAATCGGGGGAAGGGACATTGTTATGACCGCAGGGTATCGATGCCTAATCTTGGGAGAAATGCCATTTATTGTAGTTGTACCAGACAGGATCATTTGATTGCATTAAGGAGACTTTCCGGATTATGTTAATGTATTCAGGGCAACAAATAATGCAAGAGCAGCTGCCCCAAAATAGCATATTTTTTATTCCCCCCCCCCCCCCCCAATTCCTTCGCAGTCTCCCCTACATCTGGGACAAAGGCAGTATATTTCTGTCTCCGGGAGTCAGATCTTGGCTCTACAGTTGAACACCAAGGCTCGCCTATAAACTCTGCAGGATTTCTGAGGTCTCTGTTGCCTTGACTGAAGAACTCCTGCCTGTCGGTGAAACGTCATTCCAGCTCTTTTCCAAATGGAAATCTGATCTAACTTTCAGTCCATGTGGAAATGTATTTCCTGAGGGAATAAGAGAATCGATAAGATTCCAGGGTAGAAATTTCCTTTGTGTTAGTCATTCTGTAGTCAAGACCAACTGGCTGGTTAGGAGCCCAGCACAGAGCCTGTTGCTCATTAGGTCTCTGTTAGCAGACCTAATCAAGCACTAACTAGTGCTGATGTTTTTTAAACATCCCACCTTATTTTTATAAATATGGCAGGGAACCTAGCTAATACTCTTTCTTCCTCCTGGTCAGTTAGACTGAGAG